GACATTAGTGTCTCCGTGGACATTAGTGTCACTAATTAGAGACACTAATGTTTTAAAAGTACAGGAAAACACGGAGGGACTGATCAGGAGACTTCGTTGAAGAGCAACAGGAACCTGGAGTTCGTTTACAAACCAAGGTAGAAACTTTTTACATTTGAACAACTTTGGATCAGGCTGAGAAAAAAAGAAAATATTCTTTCAGTCTTTTATTTTTGTTAAAAGGTCTTTATTAAAACTGAGTTCCTGATTAAAAATGTAAATATTTAAAATATTTCATTGTTTCCTCAGGTAGAGGAAACTAAAACATGTATATATTTATATATTCAGACACATTGTCCTGGACGAAAATATAAATTCCATCTGTATTAATGAAAATATTTTAAAAACAAATCTCTGTTCTTGGCAGCAGGTTTTGTCACGTGACCCAGTGACTGTTGACTTCACGTGTTTGTCATTTAGTCAATGGTTAAAGTCAAGTTAATTTGTTTAAAAAACATTATTATTTTTTATTATATATATATATTTATATATATATATATATATATGATTTATGAATTCATCATTGATTGATCACATGATCAAACCCTGTCAGTGTCAGTGTCAGTGTCAGTTGTCCGTCTGTGCTGCAGGCTGTAAATGAACTGTGACGACTTCAGGTTTCGACGCTTGTTTATTTTTTAATGCATTACACAGTAAACTGAAATGTTGTGTACACAGGACAGAGGAGCGCCACCTGCAGGGTGGGTCGTGTCTGTTCCTGTGTCCATGGTTTGTTGTGGTTCAGCTCCTGAAGACGGAACCTGATCCGACCTGGAGAACGTGTGGAACCAACACTGTGCTGGTCCGTCTGGTCTGTCTGAGGAGGTTCTGGAGCCACTGTCTGCCTTATCAGCAGGTGATAACAGATGACACACACACACACACACACACACACACACACACTGTAGATAGAAGTGTTAAGTGCCGTTTCATTATCAGTCAGCTTTTTAATTTGTGCCATTTGCGCCTGAACTCCAGGACGTCCCCTGGTGGTCTTCAGTCCAGAGATTCTGACCCTCTTCCTCTAACACCCCCGACCCCCCCCCTTCACCAAACCTGCTTCATGTTAATCAGTGTGGAGCGAGAACAGTGTCAGAACAAATACATTTATTCTTTTATTCTTTTATTCTTTTGTCAATCCTTGTTTGTCCATTTTTTTCTTTCTGAGTTTCTGTTGCTCCATAAATCAGTGACTCCTGTTCGTTTGCTTCTGGCTGATGATCTTTGGGTTCATTGCTGCCACCCACTGGCTGAATGTGTACTGTATATTTAAAAACCCTCCAACCCTCCCGTGCCTGTACCCTCGGGGGTTCACACACCCTGGTTTGAGAACCACTGTTTGAGTCAATGCCCACATTAACCACTGATTACATCCAACAATAACAAGGTGCAAATCANTGTTAATGCCCGTGGAGCCGCTCACAGCAGACAGACAGTATTATCGTTTGTTTTATCTCCAGCGTTCAGCACAGCCTGGGGGGAAACGGCCCCCGCTCTCCCAGGCTCTTTATAGTTTTAAAGACTTTTTTTGTCGCGTCGTCGACTGACGAACGGACGCGAAAGAAACGAAATAAAGTGAACGTTGGTCAGAAAGAAACTTCTGACCTGAACCTGCAGCAGCCGTCTCCACCTCTGCTGGGACCGCGGGGACTGTAAGTGGGACGTGACAGCTCTGGCCTGTTTCATGGTCCGTGCTGACCTTTGACCTGTCTGTCCTCAGCACATCTCCAGTCCAGATAAAGCCTCAGATAAGGCCGCTAAAAAACTTCCGCTGCGCCGAACTGGGAGTGTTTTCAGGCTCGAGTGTCGGAGTCAGGAGCGTCTCCGTGCTTGTGCACGTGGGGGTCCCCGCCCCCCGTCTTTATACAGTAAATCCTCTATTAATTTATTATATTAAAATGTCAAATTCTAAAACAAAAAAAATCTAAAATTAAAATGAATTTAAATTTGTTATCAAAGCTGCAGCTTCAGTCACGTGTCACTCACTCGTTCTTTCCCGCAACAGTTTCTTTCTTTACTTTTTTTTAATAATTTTTTTAACTTTGTTGGGATTTGTTATTCGTGTGTCTCTCACCCCCCCTCGCGCCCCCCCCCACCCAGCAGATGTGTCTTAGACACAGTAAGAATTCAGATCATCACCTGTTCATTCGACTCTTGTTTAAGGATCCGTGTCTGTAATTTCCCAGTGCCCCCCCCCCCCATCC